GTCCGGAGTTGACGAGGAAGCCCTGTCCCACACCTCCGATCGCAGCTTCAAGCGGTGCGTCACTGAACACAATAGCTGGCGATTTGCCCCCTAGTTCTAGGGTTACCCGCTTCATGTTCGACTTCAACGCGGCTTGTTGTACCGCCTTGCCACCTCCAATCGAGCCGGTGAAGCTGATCTTTGAGATGTCCATATGCGAGGCTAGCAGCGCGCCAGTGTCTCGCTCCCCAGTCACGAACTGAACAACTCCGTCAGGAAAGCCTGCTTCTTTGTAGAGAGGAGCAAGGCCAAGGACTCCCAACGGTGATTTTTCCGATGCCTTGAAAATAAAGGAGCAACCTGCAGCCAGAGCTGGTGCTATCTTCCAGCCGACGTAGAGGAAGGTGGCATTCCAGGACGCAATTCCGGCGCACACGCCCACAGGTTCGTAGCGGACGATCTTGTACACGCCGTTGTCCTCGGTGAACGTTTTGCCGGGGATTTTGTCTGCCCAGCCTGCATAGTAGCGGTACACGGAAACCATGTGAGGGAGGTCAAAGTGCTTAATCATGGAGAACGGGCGACCCGTAGGCAGAGACTCCAGACGAGCGAGTTTGTCCAAGTTTTGCTCCACCAAGTCGGCGAATTTCAGCATACACGCTGCACGTTGGGCACCCGTGAAGCTCTTCCACGGTCCCTTCTTCGCCGCTGTGACGGAGGCCGCGACGGCGGCGTCAATGTCTGCACTGTTGGCCACATGGACATCTTCTGCCACAACACTTTCATCCCAAGGATTCGTGAGGGTCAGGCGGTCTGAGCCTTTGGATGGGACGAAGGCCCCGTTGATGTAGAGTTTGCCATTGTACTCGTCAGAAGAGAGAACCATTTTGATGACGGAGGAACTGTCCGATGCTATTGCACATTCACGAAGTATCTGAGGAGGACTAAATCAGTGCAGCTGGAATCTTTGAAGGGCGGTTTTCTGATTATATCTTCTTTTCTCCGGCAACCAACCTTTCCTGAATCCAGAAACAGAAACACGCATGTGCTTGCAACAGGCGCCTGAAGGTCGCTATGGCTTCTCCAGCTGTCAGCACTAGAACAATCGCCAGCAACTACTTTGAGGGTTTCTGCGAGACTCTTCTCCTTCTCCACGGAGACCTGACTTATTCAAACTGTAGCGGATGAAAAAGGTCGACGGCTTGCTCGGTCCGCCTGGCCATTGTCTCTGACCACATACGGCTTGTTTTGGGGGCCGATCCACCAGACTTATGCTGCCCGTGGTGGACAGATAGCATTTCAGGCTGGAGCCAATTCCGCGAATGTTTGGTTTAACAAATGGGACTTCGGCAAACACTTGGCTCAAGAAGCTCTTTCGCAACCAATCGTTCGCATTACCGCGTTGGCCTCTATCGATTGGGGTTCGTACACGTGTAAAAGGTACGGGTTTTGTGCAGATAGAGCAAAGTCATATTGCAGAAACGCGGAATCTAGACCTCGTCAGCTCTGGGCCTCCGGTGCACAAGTTTGTAATCATTGTCAGCTCCGATGCTTCTTTAGTTTGCGTGACTACCTCGCAGCGTAGTAGGCCAAGTATAAGCAGCTCTCAAGTCGGAATGGAACCGCCGCCGCAAGATGTGACGGCGAGCAGGACTACAAGTATAGTGATGCAAGTGAGAGAGTTTTGAAGCCTGACTGAAGGACTTGTGAAAGCCTTGTGAGCAGAGATATATAACACTATTATAAAAGCTTTTCACCACGAAGGATTGCGCAAAGAAACGTATAGTTACGAAAGGAAATAGAAGACCTAGATCAACGGATCTAAGGAAAGGCCGTCGAATGGAGGGCGACACCCCCTCCAACGCAGAGCGCAGGCGCGATCGCTGCCAAACAAACCCAACCGCCCCTACGCGCGCACAATCCCAATCGGTTACGAACGCGATCGAAAGACTCCGAAACATTACGAACACCTCCGAGATTGTTGAAAGAGGAGGAGAGGACCATGTGATAGTGATATATACACTTCAGGAAGCCGCCATCGAGACTCAGTATATAACCCAGGTGGACACCCTGCGGAACCAGACAGAAGGCGCACCTGGGCTCTACGAATCGCAATCAATCGCAACCACGGGGTACTAGGAATAGGGGACAGAAGGTGTTCCCCTACCGTGTATAAGGAAATGCCTTCGGACAATAAAAAACAATCAGGAGGTGCCCGTAAAGGCACGCAACTACTCGGTATGAAGCAAAACAGAAAAAGGAAGGAAAGGTAATAAGTTTTATACCCCAGAGGGGTTTCCCTACTCTATTCTATATAGATAGTACCCCGACATAAGCTTTATAGCTTCTAGATGTAGGAATACAAAAAAAAAAAGCCTTGTGAGCCTTCGCTCAGTGGATTGGGAATGTGAGAGTCGATCAGATGAATGCCAAGGCTGGCGGAATTCGAGGCGTCTCTTATCGATAAGGACCACGTGAGGAGCTGGTGCGCTGTTGGGGTGGCCGTGGCATCGGTGCGTCTTTGTCTGAACCCTGGAGTTGTTGATGCATGCTTCAAGTTCCCCATTAGATCGTTGAGAAGTGGTCCCGGGCCCTTCTGAGGGCATTTGTATTACGACCATGGTCTCCCCAGATCTCGTTGCAGCTCTGCAGTCGATTGCGAACAGCCCTGCTGCGTCCAGAAACCACAAATACACTGACCTTCTTGCCCGACTGACGAGCGAGCATTCGACATCGCCTGAGCAATACGCTGCCGACTTGAATGCCTACTTCGACTCGTTGCTCTCTTCTTCCCTTGGGATTATCTCTATCCGCCCTCTCGTGGCTGGACTCATCGACCGGCTCGCCACTGCTCCATCTGAGGTCAAAATCAAAGTTGGGTCACATGTCACTGAAGCCTTGCAGCCTCAGTTGGCCTCGTACGAAGAGCAGGATGCAAGAGTCAGAGAGATACTAGCGGACGGATATGAGGCAGAAGAGGAATACACCGCGGCTGCAAAAGCACTACAAGGTGTCCATCTCGAAACCACTCAGCGTCAGGTTTCCGAGCGAGCCAAAGTCGAGATATGGATTCGCATCGTGCGATATTATTTGGAGGATGATGACACAGTATCGGCAGAAACGGCCTTGAACAAGATCAAAAACTCCGCCGCTGCGGCTCACGTCTTGAAGGACGCTCCTGACCTGAGACTACACTACCAGCTATCCCAGGCTCGTATCTTGGATTCTCGACGAGACTTCCTCAATGCCTCGGCCGAGTATCTCAATGTGTCTTTCAACACAATGATAGATGACGAAGAAAAAAGACGAGCTCTGTCTGCAGCAATCAAAACAGCTATTCTTGCGCCCGCCGGACCCCAGAGAAGCCGGACTCTTGCCAAGTTGTACAAGGATGAGCGGTCGCCAGAGACAGAGGAGTACGGCATCCTCGAGAACATGTTTTTGGATCGTCTCTTGTCAGCGACTGAAGTGGAGGCATTCGCAGCGACATTGTCACCTCACCAACTTGCTAAGACGGCAGACGGGAGCACGGTTCTGAGCAGGGCTGTCGTTGAGCACAATCTCCTTGCTACCAGCCGACTCTACATCAACATCACCACGGCAGCGCTTGCACAGTTACTCGGTCTCAAGGATGGCAAGGAAGAGACTGCCGCTGAAAAAGCCGAAGACTATGCCGCCAAAATGATGGAACAGGGTAGACTGAGGGGCGAAATCGATCAGATAGCTGGCATCATCCATTTTGAGTCAGTTCCTGGTGTTGCTCTGAGAGGTCCACTGCGTGATCTCCGAGAATGGGACCAGGGAGTGCAAGGTCTGGTCGAAGATGTGGAGCGTTGCGCTGCAGGTATCAGTGAGAGTTTTCCGGTAAGCCGATGCGAAGCATTTTGGATAGGAGATTCACTTGCCGAGAGCAGCCGCTGACTCATATGACGCAGGATCTTGCAGCAGAACGTATGGTACATTGATACCGGAGGCTTAACACCTTACGTGCGTTGTTCTTTGTCAGATACACAACACCTCAAATGCACCTGACATAAGGACGCCTTGCAAGGCTCGACAGGGACAACAATAAGCCGTATAGTGTCGAACATCGGCTCACCCGGGCTCGACGGGACTCAAGTGCCGAGGAGGTCGGTATGCTCGACAGGGTCCGTCAAAGACAGTCAAAGGATACGAAACACGGTATGCACTTATGGTGATCGAGGCAAGAGCGGGAGATCCTTCTGAACGATACTGATGTCTCGCCCTCGCCCTCGCCCTCGCCCTCCCAAGATCGCCGAATGAACCGTGGGGCGTCCGTCCAACATATTGGGGTAAAGATGGGCTGGTACAGAAGTAGCCATTCCTGAAGTGGATGGACCGGGTGTTGTCATCGGATGAGGACTTTTAGGAGGGAACAACGGAATTGGGAAAGACGAATCGCCATAGCTTGCCGCTGTAGTGCATCTTTCTACAGCGCGAGATGGACAATACTTGGCGACCAACGAGGGTGAGGGGAATGGGCTTGACCACCCCCAGTTAGGTGACACAATGGCGGGGTACAGGCTGCTGGGGCCTCTGGGCACTGCTAGGCGTCGCAAGGATCCCCGGGTGCCGACCTGCTGAGAGCCTGCGAGTCCTGCTAAGCACTACCTAGTATCTTTAGATGCACCCTGCAGTTTCGTCCAATCAATCGTCCGCAAATCTCAGCTCTCACTTCCCGACTTCAACTTCCGTTCTCTACACCTTCGACCCGTCTACCATCGCCGCTACCCAGGTTGGCCACCGACTCGCTACTTTGTGTGGGCACCAATACCCTCCCTTGATCTGACTGATTCTACTTGCAGTATGCATTTCGGTCCCGGGCATTGCCTCTAGACTCTTCGATCTCAACGGCACAACCTTGAGGTTATATAATCTTGTTCTCTCCTCTCTCTAGTCTACACGATCAACATCAGTCACCCTTTGTCTTGTTTGAACCGGTATCTTTTCCCAGAAACCGCACTCGGAACCGTTGTAGACTGCCGGACAGCACCGCCAGAATGTTTGTGGCATCGCTCATCTCGCCTTGGGCCCTTCTTCTCCTACCAGTCCTATACTACATTCTTCCATATCTCCGAAACTGGGCTCTCTTAAAGGTCCCTGGCCCTCTCCCCGCCGCCCTCTCGAATCTATGGTTGATGTACCAATGTCGGCGAGGGCGAAGGTATCAGGTTGTCGATGACCTGCACAAGAAATACGGCAAGGTCGTGCGCATCCAACCAAATCATGTCTCAATCGCCGACGACAGTGCCATCAATACCATTTACGGCCATGGTAACGGATTCCTTAAGAGGTAAGCTAAGAGCATCATCCTAAGTGAACAGCCGCATTTGGTTTCAATACAGTCTAACATGACCAATTTAAGTGAATACTATGACGCTTTCGTATCCATTCGTCGTGGCCTGTTCAACACTCGCGACCGGGCAGAGCACACTCGCAAGCGCAAAGTCGTCTCTCATACCTTCTCTGCCAAGTCCATTGGCCAATTCGAACAGTACATCCACGCCAACTTGGAGCTGTTTGTGCAAAAGTGGAAGAATCTTTCTAACAACAAGAAGAATCCGCAAACCGGCTATGCATCGATTGATTCTCTTCACTGGTTCAACTACCTCGCCTTTGACATTATTGGCGACCTTGCGTTTGGGCAGCCATTCGGCATGCTGGAGAAGGAGAAGGACATTGCAGAGATCCGCAAGTCCCCCGATGCTCCACCTACTACTGCCCCAGCAATCGAAGTCTTGAATCGTCGAGGTGAGGTGTCAGGCACACTGGGCTGCCTACCGCAATTGAAACCTTACGCCAAATACCTCCCTGACCCATTCTTCAGCCAAGGTGTCGAAGCGGTGGAAAATCTCGCAGGTATCGCCATTGCGCGAGTCAAGCAGCGACTGGAAAATCCCAATACTGATCGAGTGGACCTTCTCGCTCGTCTTATGGAAGGCAAGGACGCCAATGGCGAAAAGCTAGGACGCGAAGAACTGACCGCCGAGGCCCTGACGCAACTCATTGCGGGATCCGATACCACCTCCAATACCGCCTGTGCGATCTTGTACTATGTTGTACGCACCCCGGGTGTGCTCGAGAAATTGCAAAAAGAACTTGACGCAAACATTGGCCCGGGTGTCCCCCAGTACGAGCAAGTCAGGGACCTCGAGTATGTGCAATGGGTGATTAATGAGACCATGCGGATCCACTCCACCTCGTCGCTGGGTCTTCCCCGTCTCACGCCCCTGCCGACACCTGAGCACCCGAATCCCAAACCTGTCGAAATCCTAGGCTACACTTTCCCTCCCGGCACTGCTCTGTCCGTTCCCTCGTATACGATCCATCACTCCAAGGAAATCTGGGGTCCTGACGCCGACGAATTCGTCCCTGAGCGCTGGTCGGAAAAGCGACTCACGCCGCGACAAAAGGAGGCTTTTATCCCCTTCTCGGTCGGACCCAGGGCCTGTGTCGGCAGGAACGTCGCTGAAATGGAACTGAAATGCATGGTCGCAACAGTATTCAGGAACTTTGAGTTCCGAGACGAGCATGAGGGCCCGCTACAGACAAGGGAGGGCTTCCTCAGAAAACCTTTGGGATTTAACGTTGGCATTCGTGTGAGGGCTAATGCTTGAAGGAGTCCTGTCCAAACTCTCCCTAATTGATGAGAAGGAAGGATGTCCCGTTGTGCGTGATGTCACCTCGGATTCGAGTGTTTTGGGGGGTTGTATTCAATGGTGACTTTTCTATGCATTGTCTTGGTGATTCCGGGGTCTTACATTACCTATTACTCTTTCACTGTGGGGAGTGGAGATTGCGAGTTGGTCGAGCTCGAGGGTGGAAATCTCAACACCGCCCGCCCCTTGACTTGAAAAACGGATGTGATGACGACGATGACGACGAAGCATGAACCGGTACACATCCTGGATTGAGATTGAGATTGATATTGAGACCCAAGTGGCAGGAATATCTACTACGATACGAGGTACATAACATATTGGCGATTGCGAAGCTGGACTACTGCATTTAGTTACGGCGGAAGTAAGCATCGCTTGGAACAAGGACGCATGGGCGCAGAGCAGCAGCTGTTTCGGATATCTGCAACTGCTTTTGAATCTCGTTGCAAAAAAAGCCTCAATCTTGGATATTGAAACATTGACTGTTGTTTACCGAGTACTTGTGGAAAAATCAAAACAAACCTTTCTTTCCATTAACTCCCCGTACATGTCATGTCATAAATGTCATACAAAATTGAGTATGTAGGTACATATGTGGGTATCATTCAATTTCTATCTCTAATCTTTTTTTTAAAAAAATAGAACATGAAAAAAATGTGCATAACATATCAGATGCTGACTGGATCGTGCTCGCTTCCTAATTCAAAACTCTGTATAACGACAAAAAAAGCGATGCCCGTATAAGATAAACTGCGCTGCTGGGCGTGTGACAGTTTTGAAAACCCCGTGGAGGGAAAAGAGACAAAAGTTATGATATCGAAAATGTTGTCCCATTGCATTGCCGGTGGGAAAGGCTCTGCTCGTTGACATAGATTCATCGTCGTTGTCAGGTCAGGCCATCATGGGAAACTGGGGACGGTGGACGTTGGCATGACTGTATTCGAGGGTCGGGCTCAATCTCATGGTGGACGGGTAAGCTGGAACGTCTCCTGTCGACGGAGGAGAAGGAGAAGAAGAAGAAGACGGGGTGGAACAAGGTGATAAGTCGCTGAGGATCGAGCCTGTCAGAAAACAAGCCATTCGGGGAATTCGGACTCTTTATAGCTTCGCCTTCAGCTTCTGAGGATCCTCATTGACCTTGTTCTCGTCGACAGCCACAATGACCAGGACGGCAATGTCGTCCACCTTCCCGCCATGCCAGGGGTCGTAAGGAAACTGCTTCTGCATCTCCTTGGCAAACGGGCCATCTCGTTTAGCGTTAAGGCTGGCGTTTTTCGCTTCCCCGACAATCGCTGCGGCCAGCACGCTCTGCAAGGTGCCGGTCGCGAGAGGCAATTGTTGGACGGAACTGTCCACGGTATCCGAAATTCGAAGCTTATGCTTGTGGGGAGCGAGTTGCTGATCCACCAGCTCAGACAGGACGGGCGAGACCGTGTAGCCTTGGTCCCTGGTTCTCAGCCAGGCACCAGTAGTGCGCATGTGTAAGGAAACAATAGACAATATGTCTTGGGAGTTGAGATTGTCCCATACACCATCCGTCGCCAAAACAAGAACGTCACCGTGCCGAAGCATATGGTCGGCTAGGTCCGCGCGTTCCGGCTTGTCATTCAAAGGCAAGCCCCCAAAGATCATGGCTTGGGCCAAAATGTCGGGCGGAGTGAGGCTCATCTGGTAAGGAGTATTGAAAGCATGAGTCTGAGGGATCGAATAATGTTGCACTGCTCCTAGCCGCAATTGCAGAAAGCCTGAGTCGCCCAGATTTGCGATTCGCATGCGGCCATCTCCTTCTGTCACCGCAACACAGGCTGTTGTCCCGCCAGCGTGGATTGTAGGATCCCTTATCGTTTTCTCATAGCCTATCTCGAGAAGTTGTTTAGGGCCAAGCCGCTCTTTTAATGACCAAGCGAGTGTGGTCTCCGCCATGTAGCTACACAAGCCGTGGGAGAAGTCAGCTGGGTCAATTCCGTGCTCGGACCAGCCACCGACGCCGTCCGCAATGGCGAATGCCGTCGTCGTGGGGTCTTTTCCAACACGAGCGACAAAGTATGCATCCTGCCCGCTGTCAGGCCGTCGGATCCTCTTCTCCTCGAGCGTGGAACCACGTTGAAGACCCAACCCATCATCGTCGCTCGGAATGTACTCGTATGTGCTCAGTTCTGGACGGAATTTTCTGCCTTTCCCGCTCGACGACGCCGCGATGTGTAGTGAAATATGCGGGATGGCGGAATTAGCCATGCTGGGGGAGGTAGAAGGGACAGTGGCTGCACGGCGCGGCGATGAGTGCAGGTTCCTAGCGTTGAACCTGTAAGGATCGAGACTTCGACGGATATTTTGGTGGAGGTCTAAAAAGACACGGTAAGCAAGGGCTGGATCGTGGCGAGAGGATTTGCCCGCACGGTGACTTAGGTGTGAAGGAGTAAATATCAGAGACCGAGCAAGGAAGGTCGGTGCTGAGCGGATGGGACCAGCTGCAGTGGACATGATGCTTTGTTTGCAGGGTTATAGGAGCAGGCGAAGGATATCCCCGCGGGTTCGGGCATTCGAAATTGTAGACATGGGACGAATCTTCTGCCGGTATCGTGTAATATTCAAACGAAAGGAGTCTCAATCGATCAAAGAGCGGGATCAGAGTAGTGAGCGCGGGGTGGCTATCAAACTGTTCAAGATAAATTTCCTTTTTGACGTCGCGATGCATATCAAGCGGTTAAAGTTCGGAAATCGCGTCACAAAATATATTCCGACGTCCAATGGACCTCAGCAGGCACCATTAACCCAGTTCAAGCTGCTTCGCACTCCAGGATAGAGTGCCACAGATTGACACATGATAGCTGACCAAACGAGATCTTTGGTGACCTCGCCTCCGTATTTGTGTCTCCGGCAAGAATGGATCGGTTCAAGTTCCTCGTCGCTAGAGGCGGTGCGGGCGGCGTTGTGCGAGGTAGAAGTCGACGACTGAGAGCGCAGGCTGGGACTATGCACGGCTCATTTGACTGAGCAGTCAATCCAATGAAGGTGACTTGCTAAGAAGACCCAAGCATAGTCGTGATGTTTCCAGATGCGGACTGCCTCTATTGTTTTGCTACGAAGAACGAATCGGCCAGGCAGAGTACTTGGCATTGCAGAGGTGAAAGCCACACGCGTTCTCTTGTGTAACCTTCCCAAATGTGCTTCTATTTATGCTATTTGGCTGCAGTTACTCTTTACTGAGATTCATCTACTCTCCACATGAACACAGTCAGCCAAGTCGGCCTAAGAAGACTGACTCCAGTTCTCATCAACCATCATGAACACTCACGATGTCTCAGACATTCCACAGTATTTCGAGTTCCTGCGTCGGCAGAGGCAGAGTCTCCAAGAGGCACAATCTCGTGAAGGACAACGCCCTCAAGAAAGACGATCCAGGGAAGAAATCATAATGAGGTTCAGATTCATGGGGACGGCTGGACGAGGCTCCTACGACAAGTTCAACCTACGATCCTCATTCATCCCTCCAGCTTATCCTCCCTGCACCAGTGCCTTAGCCGAACTGAAGAAAACGATGATCAAAGATCTTCTCCTGGAAACTCACCACCGAGGCACTTATCTACTATTAAGGTCAATTACCCCGCCAGCCAAGTTGAATGCGGTTATGACCATTGTGGAAGACGAAAGCCAGGACGTCGTCATGTTGCAGCTGTACTATCAAGAGGGAGGTAATGACAGCAAGATTGAGGACATCGCTGGAGAGGGCACGATCCTGATTGTGCGAGAACCATACTTCAAGTTAATGTCGGATGGAGAGTATGGACTCCGCGTTGACCATCTCTCGGATGTGACATATCTTCCAGCATACGATCAGGGAGTCCCGAATCATTGGCAGAAAGATATCATAGTGGGTAGCGCCTCGGTCGACGATTGGAAGATCAAGGGAAACGACTTCTACAAAGGTTCCAAGTATAGAGCTGCTATTGAATGGTAAATTTCCATCGGATCCTCTCCAATGCTTCGGAATATGTTAACGTTTCAGCAGCTATACGAAAGCCCTCGATTGTTCTCCGACAGAAGACAAATCTCGCACCATCAAGATCAATCGAGCTCTCGCATACATCAAGACGAGGCAATTCGAAGCCGCTCTCTTCGATCTGGAATACGATCCGTCTCCTCAAAAGCCAAACGAGAAAGCTCTCTTCAGTAGAGCACTAGCATTGTACTGCCTCCAGAGATATCGAGAATGTCGTGAGATTCTCAAAACTGTCCTTGTGAACTATCCTGGTAATGCACCGGCCAAAACAAAACTCACTCGAACCATACAACGGCTTGCAGAGCAAGAAGGTGGAAAGTACAACCTCACCGGTTTGCGCACGGAGGCCGCTAAACTGCGACCGCCGCAGCTAGACCATGCTACATTTTCAGGTCCGGTTGCAATCAGAACGTCAAATGGTCGGGGGCGGGGTCTCTTTACCACAAGAGCAGTCAAGGCTGGCGAGCTTCTTTTGTGTGAGAAAGCATTCGCGTATGCCTTTGATGATTCTCAGAAGGCAACGGCCGGGGGCAATTCGACTATCTTGATCAACGCAGAATCTAACTCCATAACTATTGGGGCTCAGGCGGAACTCATCCAATTGATCGTCCAAAAGATGTATCGGAATCCGTCCTCGGCGACTACCATCACCAATCTTCATCACGGCTCGTATGAACCTGTCAAGGTTACCGAGGTCGATGGCACACCAGTGGTTGATACGTGAGAGAATCATCCTTTTGTTATTGACTCACACGTGCTGACTTGCTATCCCAGATTCCTCGTTGCGCGCATCATAAGCCTGAATTGCTTCGGATGTTCACTCTCGTCTCGCGAGACCCATCTACATCTTTTGAAGGGCAAGGAAGGACAGAGCACTCATATCTATGACGATCGATTCCACTCTTGCGGGATTTGGGCGATGGCATCATACATAAATCACTGCTGCTACAGTAACTCCAGACGGTCTTTTATCGGCGATATGATGCTGGTGCGCGCAACGCAAGACCTTGCAGCTGACACAGAGATCACATTCTGGTACCACTCGCCTGGCGTCAATGACTACGACGAGCGACGGAAAAAGTTCCAACATTGGGGTTTCATGTGCGACTGCGCCATGTGCCAGGATGAAATGGCCACGAAGAAGAGCGTCTGGGCAAAAAGAACCAAGTTGAGGGCAGACGCTCTGAAGGTCTTCAAATCTGACAGCAAAGCGAATATAACCCAGGTTGAGACCGTCCTCGCCGAGCTTGTTGCTACATATCCTCGACCAGCTTCTGATGTGCCTCGTCTCAGTGTGTGGGACGGCCAGTTGGCCCTCGCAAAGATGTGTCTCGCGCATCGGCAACCACTCAAAGCCGTCGAATGGGGGGTGAGCGCTCTGGAATCTCTCGGCTATGTGATAGAAGGAGGAAGACTGCCGCGCACCATAGGCACGCCCCTGGTTGTCAAGAAATGGGGCTTGATGCAGGACCACCTTGTCGAGTGCTGGATGGTCCTCGCCAGGGCTTACAGCCTGGTGGCTCCCGATCTCGAGGTTCTAGCGATCGAGTACGCTAGGAATTCATACAAGATTTGCGTGGGCGAAGACGACAGTTTTGACGAGACATACGGCAGGATATTCAGGGGCGCCTAGCATCCGACAGAACTGGGTGAATGGCTCGCAACGATGCTGTCTGCTGATATGGGACTGATACTTGGAAAGAAAAACGTTCGAAGCAGTTGCTCAATAGTCGATGTGTAAGGAGTCACTTGGCTATCTCCTGTCAGAGTCAGTCAAGAACAAAGTCATGTTTTCAATAGAGTGTGATCTCCCAGGTAGTTCATCCTCGCTCTTTGAGAGCAACGCATCTCGCCGGAACTATTACATCCACCCTGACCACTCAGAAAGCTATCACATACACAGGCATCCTTGTTGATTGTTACACAGCTCGAAAAACCCTCCCGCTCAACCAAACGAAAACGCTGCATGTCCCAACTTCAACAGAGAAGTCGCCGCAAAATTTGGTGTTTCAATTTCACCTCCCATATTAACTCCCGTCCCACAAATCTTGATACAGTCTCGAGACAAATACCAGCCGTTGTTTCTTCGGGCCTTGCCTCTAAAATTACAGAACAACTCAGCTTTGTCGACTTTGTGGTCCCTTCTTCGGCGTCGGTGTGAGTCAAGATTTCCCGGCAGACCAATCCGATCAAAATCATCAAAAGTTTTTGCATCGTAAAAGGGCCAAAGTCCATCCCTAGATTCGCAACTTGATACTCTTTTCAATGTCGTAAAAGGTACTCATAGGCGGCTGATCGCATCCGTTGGTCGCCACGTGCTGGCACAGAGCACTCGCGAAGCGGAAGTCGGTTGCACAGTCGGGACACTGATATCGCTTGTCGTCGAGCAAGTGATTGACATAGGCGCCGCATCTCTCGTAAGTGTCGAAGATATAGTTGTCGACATCGTCCCTATCAATCCCACTCACACACTTGCCCGATTCCAGATGGATCATCATGGCAGCGAATTCCGAAAACATGCGGTCGCAGCCGAGGCACTCGATTTCCAAAGGGAGATGACTTCGCTTGTGCTATTCAATTGCATTTCATGTCAGCTCATCCTCGACTAGGACAGCACACGCCGAAGAATCTCGGATAACAGACCTGTGTCAGATCATTGGGGTTGTTGAAGTATTTGCCACATTCCGCACACATGTTGTGGACAGCAATGTCGTGAGAGTTGAGACGGGCCGGACTGCGGAAATACGTGTTGCACGGCGCGCACATGTTGTGGACTTCGACGTCGTGCGATCTGAGCAGCGCGGCGGTACCAAAGTCCAGGTCGCAAGGCACACAGACGTTATGCCGGTGGGAATTGTCCACATGATACTGGCATGCCTGAGGTGAGACGAATAACCACTTGCACCGCTCGCACCACTCTCCTCGGTGGGCGTCGGCATTGCGGCAGTGATTCAGACCTCCATCGAGTGAAATGAACACCCGATCGCAGGGACGACAGTAACTGTCATTGTTTTCGGGGTTGGATACAAGCTGGTTTTCCTTAACCATGATGATGGCAACATTTACCGGGTGTCTCTTGAAGGAGAGTCGCTGTCCTTGATGAGAGTGAGGTCGGAGGAAGTGAAGCTCTCCCCTCTCCTAAAGGGGGTGGTGGCTTAGGCACACACTAGCTTGGAATGGTGGCTGCTGCAAACGCTGCAAACGCCGCAAACGAGGCTGGGCAGTTTTGTTGCTGTCTCGTCCTCCAACTCTCAGAGAGAGGAGTGGCCAAAGACCTTGAGAAGACAATGTTGTACTTTCTGGCGTATATTTCAGAAACTTATCATCTACGATTGAGAGCTAGGTTAGAAGTGGAGGTGTGTTATTTTGTGTTGGACGAAACTCAAGTAATTCTGACTTTATCAGCCTCGTTGCATGGAGTCGTAGCCTTGCGGGAGCTCGAGTGCGGGGAAATGCGCGTGGCTTACTTCATTCCTGGTCGCTTACTAGGCACACAGTCACCGCAGTCCACTGAGGGGCTCCCAAAGGAACGGAGGCTCCAGCTTTTTAGGTGCTCGGAACAACCTCTATCATCCACTCACTTCTCGAGCTATATCAAGCCTCAGAAAGACGTCATACGCGTTTTCAAAGTTTCCCTCACCACCCTCCCGACATAATAAACCTCTATACGTCCGATTTTGTCTGAGAGTAAACAGCTCCCATCTTCCACCATGGCCGCCCAAGTGCCAGCTGCGCTGAAGACAGCCGACATTACCCGCTTCGCCCACCGCGCAGCGCAGCTCGAGAAGCCCAAGCCTATCATGGCATACTGGTGTACGGCTCAGCCTTCAGATCTCAAGCGAAGGTTAACCTGTTCATAGGCGAATACTGGATCGTCAACCAAATTTTGTCCAAAGGCCTACACAATGCGGACGAAGAGAGCCTAGTCTACACTACAACATTGATGGACAAGCTCGAAAAGGTGTGTGTGTCTTGCGCTGCCTTGATTGGGAATCCTTGCTTATACTGCTGCCGTAGTTCAAAGCTGAACATGTCCAAGAACCTGCGGTAACCGACGACGTTGTGGGAAAAACATACGTGGAACAGTTTGGACTGGAAACTTTCGAAAGAGCAGACAATGCGGTACGCGCAAACAAGGCCTCGAGACAGACGGCAGACACCTTCCAAGCTTCGGCCACCTTTCTCGATCTGCTTCAGATTTGGGGCCCTGTGGAACCCGAAATCGCCGCCAAAATCAAGTTCGCAAAGTACCATGCCTTGAGAATCGCGAAAGCTCTGAAAGCTGGAGAAGATCCAAATTTGTCCAACCCCAAGCCACAAACTCCGAGTGAGGAGGCTCCCCCTGCGCTGGACCCGGACGATGCGGAAGTAAAGGCGATAGAAGGAGGTAGGGACGGCACCAGACCAAGACAGCCCTCTGTTGTTGAAATACCCGACGAGGCCGACAAGATTCAGAGAAGCCTTGCGCAGAAGTCGCTGCTCGATGAATCATTACACCCCTCCCGAGACACATCAATGCCACCTCCGGCCACCAAGCAACCGTCGATTACTGACGTTCCTGATGAGGCAGATCGAATACAAAGCGAGCTTGCTCGTCAATCATCTATCGACCAGTCTCTGCATCCTTCGAGAGCACCTTCTGCTCCACTGGGGAGCGACGTGTCTCCTCTGCCAGAACAAGATCCTGCTGCATTCTACACAAATCAGACCGATACAGCTGATATTTCGCCGCTAGAGCCGCCTTCTGAGCGAAAGCCTTCGATAGGAGGAAACTATTTCCCCGTGGTACCATCAGCTCCGGCAGAACCAGTGCTCCCGTCACCGCCAACAACGGTAGGCGATGCTGGCCCAGACCTGCCCACCGCACCTTCAGGACTTGGAAAGGTCAACACGGATATTCCTCCAGCGCCGTCTGAGCCCTCTCTTACATCCGCACGAAGCGAGCTCGGCGCCGCTCTTAACCTGCCCGCCCGTCACCAATCTCCTCCCCTTCCGCCTCACCGCCACGGTACTCCTCTCCAACCAGCTCCAATCGATTCATCCCACCAGATCCCTCCCAATTTTCAACCACAAGTTCCTCCACCTCAACTTCCAGTCAATGCACCACAGATCCGACAAGCGCGTGGTCCCGTACCACCTATACCCCATCAACAGCAGGCCCCAGCTTCCATAGCAGCGCCGTCGCCGATTCATCCTACCCGGATAGCGGCAGTCTCACCCCCACAGCCTCCACCAGTTAGCGTTGAGGTTGACGAGGAGGCGATCTTGAAGGCGCAGAAGCACGCCAGGTGGGCGATTTCTGCGTTAAACTTTGAGGATGTCCCAACTGCAATTCAGGAGTTGAGAGGAGCATTGGCCTCTCTGGGTGGTCTTTGATTGCGGTGACGATGGAATCACTTTGTTATCATAAGCGGCATCCCGCCGCGAACGTCGGGGAAGTTGGAGGGCTGGAACATTTATTTATACCCAGAGCACACAGCATGATGTACAAATAAGCGTCAAAGCGAGAGTGTCCTGTATCATGTATACCGTTGACACTGAAAGGCATGAGAAATCACACCAACATTAAACCCGCGCCGACTTCCTTTCCTTCCTTTCCTCCTTTTTATAGATGCACGCGACCGCAAAATATACATGTACATGGTCCCACGCCGGCCGTGACAGGTGAACCAGAAAAATGAAAATAGACTTATCAGAGGAAATAGTATTTTTTCGTAAAGGAAATAGGAAATGAGCAATATATTCCTGTCCCTCAGGGGATCTCTGTCCCTTTCTCTATTTCGGGTCCTGTTCTACTTTTCCCTTTATGCTCTCTCCATTTTGGGGTCTGTGGTTTAGTTTGGTTTGGTCCGGGTAGGTCAACTACCTAACTAACCCTCTTCCAAAGTATTTGGTGTTTTGTCTCGTCGTGATTTCGTAAGAGGGTAGAAAAGAGTTCGCACACGGGGGAAAGGGCGAGAAGATGTTGAAATGAATATGCCAGGATGAAAAAACCAGATGTCATGTCTGCTGCTCGATACTTGACCGATCTGATTGTGATCATGTTTTCCACCCGTGTTGGGAGTAGATATCAGCACATTGCGAAACACACTCCGGTTTGTGAACGCAGTTGCAGGGCCTCGCGTCGCCCCTATGTGAAATTTCATATACAGGTGGAAATGGGAAAGTTTGTGATGGTGATGGGATGGGATCGATCCGGGCAACTCAACCACCAACGCTCAATCAAACAAATCTCCCGCTCGCCTCCTCACTCGCTTCTCCCGGACCGGTTCGTCGAAGAGCTCTTTTCCTTCGTTCCTCCCGCTGCTCCGATTGTACTGATTGGGGAATAACTCCTTCACTTCCAGAGCACGACCCTTGATACTCAGCCCTCCTGAGCCTTTGATACTGAACCCGCCTCCAGCACCTGAGCCCTCGGATGATCCCTTGATGGCGAGGCCGCTAGCATTCCCGCCACTCGACGGGAATAATTCAACCCCTGCGTTTGAGGCCCCATTCCTCATTGATTTGGTGCTGTCGATCGAGATACTCTTTCTGGCAAATCTCTCGGCGAGATTCTCTTCATTTTTGGCGTCCATTGCGTGGCTCCTGCGGTGATTTGAGCGAGGGGAAGTTTGCGCGGCGGACAGAAGATCAGCCTTCAGGCGTTTCGCCGCGGCGGCATTGGCCCGATTTTGTGTGGCATCGATGGTCGGTCTAGGTGCTGCTGGAGCTGGATCGGTCGACATTGAGGTGTCTGCATCCGAAGTTTTATTGGGAAACAGCTCGACTTTATCGGATCGGAGACCACCACCCATCTTGTTGTCTGAGGTGAATGCTCCGAATAGCTCTTTTCCTGCGTTGGAGCGCACGCGGTCACCGCGATCACGATAGCCTCTCCGTCGAGTCCGTCCATCATCATCCGAATCCGAGATTTCGATGTCGTCGCTGCCGCGCATGCGCGTGCCTGGACTAGCGCTCCGTCGTCTCGCTTTCGTGGCGCGTGGGAAAAGATCTCGACCTCTTGCTTTATTGATCTCTGTGTCTGTTGTGGGTGCATCGTCGTACATACTAGCCGAGAAACCTCCCGCATCATCACCATTTGCGCGGTCATTATCTCTCCTTCGCCTATAGAGTTCGCGATCGTCAAATTTTCTGCGCCGATAGTCTCCGCGACTATTCTCGAACTCTTTCCGCATTCGTTCCGTAGGATCTTGGTCTGGGTGCATGAGGTAGTATCTGCTTGCATCTCTAGCACCTTTCTTCTTCCTGTCACCTTGCTGAGCGACGCGAACCACAAGCATACTTCCCGGCCTGCTGGCCAATTGTTTCGTGGCGCGCAATTCGAACGGGTTGTTCGTCAATTCTTCGATCGTGACCGAGTTCGCGACGAATGCCAGCTGCGCTCGTTTTGCGGTATCACTGTCATTGAAGCAAATGTTCGCAGAGGTATCGTCGATCCATTGGACATGTACGTTGTCGCCGACTTCACTAAAATGGTCGTGTACAAAGGCAAGAATGTCACTTGTGTGCATTTCGTCAACACCGCGAATGTGGACTTTGGTCCATTGCGGTTCGAGGGCCGGGTCTTCGGTGTAGATGGCTGGGATGATATTCGAGGAGTCGGTGGCAGCGGGTGCGCCAGAGGGGACAAACGACGGTTCTTCGCCTTCCTGTATGGGTGATAAGTACGGGAACATGCATTCCAGCGTGGTGAGGGAGATATGCGAATCATCGTACTTCGAGCTCAAACTCATCATCAAGAGGTGGGCCTTGATCATCCATATCCATGTCGATGTCGATGTCCATCAGATCGGCGTCCTGCGCCGACGTGGCCATTGTTGGTTGCATAGCCAAAGCCATGTCTCGAATGAAGGGTCTTCCGGGGGGTTTAGAGGGTCAGAACCAGACGGTAGTCTGAGTAAATAGGGAGATTGATGTCTGAAAAAAGGCTTAAATGAGATCGAACATTCTTTAGAGTGACGAAGCGAGGCTGTCGCATCCGAGAATCGTGAACAAGCTCCCAGCCGAGTAAGTAGTGAAATCTGACCCGATGTGACTGTGAAAAT